ACCACTAGTCAATAACCATGATTCTAGGTAGACCACTAGTCAATAACCATGATTCTAGGTAGACCATTAGTCATCAAGTATGATTCTAGGTAGACGAGTTGTCATTAAGTTTAACCATGATTTTAGGTAGTCCAGCTGTCTATAACCACTATTCTAGGTAGACCACTTTTCTATAACCACTATTCTAGGTAGACCACTTTTCTATAACCACTATTCTTGGTAGACCACTTGTAAATAACCATGATTCTAGGTAGACCACTTGTAAATAACCATGATTCTAGGTAGACCACTTGTAAATAATCATGATTCTAGGTAGTCTAGCTGTCTATAACTATGATTCTAGCTAGACTCCATGTTCATGACCGTTAATAACTGGGATAGTATATTTGCCTACCACATGGAAGAAAAGATTAATAGAACATGTATACAATTGTAAGGCAGATGACATCTAGAGGACCAAACAATTGAATATAGATTTCAATAGGGGTATAGTTGTATGACATACATGTATATAGATACATATTGGTTTCCATAGAAACCATCTTTGTATTGCTTTGACCTGCTCAGACTGAAACATACATTGTTATTTAATATATAATCTATGGCAATTAATTTTAAATAAGATTATATATAAGTCTGATCTCTAACGTCATTACTCCAGAGGGATTTACAGGATTTACATTTCAGTTCAATTTCTGCCGACCTAATTGATTCAAGAGAACGATTCCACAGAATTGTTTAGGTATTTTTTCTATTTTGGACTAAATGTGGCCAAATGTACACGAATGTCCTATTGTCCACTGATACAAAAACTGAAAACAAATATGGTAATTAAACATTCATAATGTGAGTTTATTTTGTGAAAGGTAACAAAAGTTGACCTTGACTTTCAAAGGATGAAACTATATAGTTGGGTTTTCTTCTAGTATGTCTGCAATAGTTGAATTATTTAGGAAATATAACAATGTGAAAATGTACTTGCATTGTATCACCAATTATTAGGAGCCATCAATTAGTTTCCGTAGCAACATTGGAATAATTCTTATGAGCATTGCTAAACATTTTTCTTACAACTTTCAATAGTGAAAATACACCACAGTACTTTAATATACACCACAGTGCTACTTTAAAATACACAACACTACTTTGAAATACACAACACTACATTTAGAAATACACAACACTACTTTGAAAATACACAACAGTACTTAAAATACACCACAGTACTTTGAAATACACCACAGTACTTTAAAATACACCACATTACTTAAAAATACACAATACTACTTTGAAATACACAACACTACTTTGAAATACACAACACTACTTTGGAATTACACCACAGTACTTTAAAATACACCACAGTACTTTGAAATACACCACAGTACTTTAAAATACACCACAGTACTTTGAAATACACCACAGTACTTTGAAATACACCACAGTACTTTGAAATACACCACAGTACTTTAAAATACACAATACTACTTTAAAATACACAATACTACTTTAAAATACACAACACTACTTTAAAATACACAACACTACTTTAAAATACACAACACTACTTTAAAATACACAACACTACTTTAAAATACACAACACTACTTTAAAATACACAACACTACTTTAAAATACACAACACTACTTTAAAATACACAACAGTACTTTAAAATACACAACACTAGTTTTGAAATACACGCTACTTTAAAATACACAACACTAGTTTGAAATAGACAACACTACTTTAAAATACACAATACTACTTT